ATCATTATTTATCACTTCAGATAGAAAGACAATGAGTTACTATTTTATAAGTTTTTCCATGAGAAAACTAAAAAAGATTAGAATGCATACATTTTTCATCTTACACAATGTGCCGTAAGATTAGAGAAATATTATCTATCTGATCCATACGTGCATATAAATATGTCGAGTATATCAAATTAAAAAAGTGAAGCAAAACAGGTGTGCTATCCATATACTGCATGAAAGAAAAATGATTAAAAATGATTAGTCAAAAGATGTATATCCTGAAATAAAAGATTTTGGTTCATTTTCCTCATAACGCAAAATTCAAATCGTATTGTCTTGTTTTTTTTAAGTGAGAACATAATCTATTTAGGAAAAACGGAATAAAATGCTATCATTCACTAACCTTTCAAAATTTAGTGAAACTTGCCATGTTATTCGAACTGTGTATAAGTCAGAACTTTATAAGGAAGATTGTTCTCATGAGTTTTCTATGATTGAGAGCGATGATTTTTTCATGCAGATGAAATGGCACTTGATATTAACCTATATGAAAAAACAAAACTGTAAGAACAAGCACAGATAAACATCTACACCCAGATGTTTGTAAAAAGAAATCAGACAAATATTTGACTCACTGTTTTTATTTTACCTGCATCTGCCTTTGTAATATATTTTCAAATCTCTATATGTGCTGTTATGTTAGTAATCTAGATATTTAAAGAAATCGAAATTTCGATTAGAATTACAATTCTAACGTTTTATAGGACATGATAGTTTCAAATTTATGCATCTTATCTTTACCTATATCGACATCCCCATCCTATATTGTTAGATTGAAAGGGACCAATGATTTAAGACAGTCTTCTGCTAGATTTTTATTCATTTTAGATAATATAAATTTCCAATAGTCTCATAGAAAATGTCAACAGTTTAGCCTATTTGAAATGATTTTCTCAGATTACAAACACAAATGAAATAATTTTGGTGTCAGTCATTATCGGCTATCAACTGAGACTCTTGAAAATTAGATTTACTCGGATTCAATATATTGATAGAAGTTAGAAGTTCTTGACTAATTAAATTATTAAGTGGAGAGTGTGGATGTAAGTTAAAAGAAGGATTACGTCCTAGCCGGAAGAAGAAGACTTATAGTCACGCCAAAGTCGGAGAGAAATGTAGAATGTATACGACTTTGTAAACAACTTCTGGAAGGGAATGAAAAAAGAGAGCGTATTTGATAGTAATTGAGGAGGGTATAAATGTGAGTAAGTGTGAAAAAAAGATAATTTTCGCAGCCTACATCCACACTCTTATATCCTTACTCTTATATGATACATATGCATAAAATAATTCAAAAAACATCTGAATACTGATTAATATATCCAGAGAAAAGAATACTTACTTTTGTTTGAATGATATTTTTGGCAAGAATTGCATTATAAGATAATTTGATCAGCTTGCGGATTCAATATCGAACTGTTCTAGTAAATCATTACTTTCGCTAAAAACTAATCGAATTCAATCTAATATTTGTTAAAAGATGATATCTTGGAACATTTCAAATCTATTAATTATATTGTGTCGGACTTACTGAAATCTTTGTTCGTAAAAACGTTCGACGAAATACAGATGAGAGTTAAGAGAATCCTTTTGATTGCAACTCTCAACCTGTTACACACCTGCACATTATTGCTTGTAGATTCTTAAACTTTTTGAATTTTCAGAGACTGGTTGCATGTGCGAGTAAAAAAAGGTTCATCCACATCGAACTAAGAAAACATTTAATATCATTTTATAGTATAATGAAAACATCTTCATCTATTTCTCATAAAAAAGAAATGTTATCACAAATAAACATACGACTTTGATCATTATACTCAAGAAATCGAATAAATATGTTAAATTCATCCCTAATTACAGTCACTTAGTAATCTATGATAAAAAAAAATCAATATAAACGATATTCATTTATTTTAGAAGATTATTCACATTACTTCGTAGACTTTTCTTTCATTACGCTCCGCTATCAGTTTGACAACTTTTTTATAATTGAGGATTTAGAATTAGCGAATCAAATCACAATCAATTTTCAATAGGATTTTGAAAAAAAAATTCTATTTACTGGAGAAGTTGACAGTACACAGAACTTAGTAGAAAATGAGAGGAGGTAAGACAGACACGTCCATTAAAGCCATTTTTTTTATTCATTTGTTTCCTTTCATTACATGACTTTCCTTTATCCTTAAGTTTCAATATATTTCGATGCATTTTAATTTTATAGAAAAAAAAATAATATCAAGTATTTGAAATATATCCAATTTTGAAAATATTTTTATAAAAGAGTAGTTGTTTTTTTAATGCGATGTTTACTCGTGAGAATTCACTAATGACTGTGATGAATATCCTAAGAATAAAAAAGATTGATTCATTAAATTAAAAACCAAAACGTACTTAAAAATCAATTCTAAATATTCCATAGATATTTGTTTTCGAATAAAATATTCAAAAAAAAAGTTAATTTTTAAATTAGATATAATAATTTAAGTCAAAGAACATTTGTTTTTAAAAACAATTAGTATAGGTTTAAGTTAATCAAGTCGAGCGCTATAAGACATTGTCTAACAATGAAGTTAAATGTAAATGTGAATTTTTTCTTCTCTTTCGATTTTATTGCTATGTTCAAATTCGTTCATGAATATTTACTTTGTTGGAATGTGATTATAAATAATTATTTCAGCAAATAGTTTCTTCTATAATTAACAATTTCATGGATGTAAGTCAGATAATTTTTTTTTGACATATCAACTATCTTTAGTTTCTATTTTAGTGAACAGATTAGTTATAGTAACTATAAGATTGATCAATCTGATTAAATGTCGTTGGGATTGAAGGATCTGAATCTTTGATTGCTTTCATTTCTTTTACGTTATGAGAAAATAATTTCAAGTTAGGATGTAAATTAAAAGACGATGTTCATACTCTACACTCACAACTATAATGTTGTAAAGTTCTCGCAGATTCTTAAACTATAAACTTGAAAAAATAAAACGACATTGAAACATGGACTGTAAATTATGATAAAATTTCTATACACTCTTGTATTAGATTTAATCAAAATTTTCTTGAGCTCAACCGTAAACCGATGAATATTGCTCAAACATCATGAGTATCACTTTATCAATATAAAAAAAGAAGCTGAATCTCAAATCTACCTCATTCGATATCTTTATTTAATTTTTACTTTGTCTTTTGTAATGTGTAGAGCGTTTTAAGAACTGCATCAATCCATAATATTATTATTTTTTATGAAAGTCTTGTTAGTAAAATAGTATAGAAAAACAAACTAAATATATATCATGTAGGTTAAGAAATTCTACGAGAGAATTTGTAAATTATATTATGTCAAATCGATATTATTGTTCTTATTTTCAATTTTGCTTTAGGGTGTGGATGTGACAATTCTCTTTGCGAACATCCACACCCACACATCAGGGGTCAAAAAATTGAGTTGTGATAATATGCAAAATAAACTTGTAAAAAATAATCAGAGAAGAATGCTGATTGTCAGGATAATAAAAATAGGCTGAAATTATTTAAGATGCTATGTCTATAGTTTGTTTGGCACACCTTCTTTCTCGAAAAAGACAATGAGAATATCGTACAAAGTTTATAGATGGCATTACTTGATTTCACTCGTTATATAATCGGAAAGATTCTGCCTAAAAATACTGTAGATAGATCATTTTCGTCAATTTTTATCTAGTTTTATCGAGTTTAAATTAAAAAAACTGATTTCTAAACTTATTTATCGTTTTTCTCAAAATACGTTTTTTAGTAAGAAAATTGAAACTGATCCCATGGACTTCAAGTTCAAGGCAGAACCAATATTTTCTTTTATTATCGAGAGGATGGGCATTTTTAGTCTGTTTTTTTGACCCCAAGTCCACTAAAATATTCATATTACACGAACAGAGACGAATTTTAAAATTCTGTTCGGAAAAAAAGTTGACTATTGCTATTGACTTTAATTTGAAACATCTCCGAGTTCTATACCTCTCATAATAGCAGAGCCCTAGGGACTCCACTCTAGTTGGACGTATTGAGCTGAAACTTTTATCAGAGACCTTTCTCACTAACGTCACTCATCCCTGAAAATTTTAACTTGTACAGATCTTGTTAAGTGGGATATCGATTTTGACCGCGGGGCCTCTTAACCCGAATATATTCCGTTTTTCTCAAGGACAGTACAAATACTTTCATTGTCAGTTTCGCATGCGCGTTAGTCCAACAATAGGATCTAGCTAAGAGCGTATCAGAATCGCCAATTCGAATAGCTTGATACAAGTTCGCTAACATCTAGTGAAATCTCGCTGGCATCCTCAATCAGGAATTTTGTCCTATCACGTATAAAACATCCTCAAAGATGCATATTGAATCCTTAAGATTCTCCAAAAACATAGAAATTACATCTTCTCAGAATTTTTTCAGTTTAGGAGTTTTATATAGTTCATTATTTCATTACTTAAACTCTTGTCTGATGTTCATATAAATAAACATGGAATTAGCATTACTCTTTCTCGGAAAAATATCCTTACACCAATCTCCAAGTGTTGTTTTTAGGATCAAAAAGATCTTGGCAAAAACTAAAAGTGACATAGATGTAAGAATCGTTATGAAATCCTTCTTTTCTATACAGAATTAGGAAAAGACTTCTGAATTTTTATCTGCAGAACGAGTATTCTCAAAGACGAAGGTCGTATTTGTAGCGTTTACTTCCACAAGAGATGGGATCTCTTCGATAACGACGATTCCTTTTCTTTTTTTTGTTCATTGTAGTAATTCCCAATATTCCAGTTGATGCCCAATGGAAACAGAATGGCGTGACCGTTGCTGGAGGCCATGGAAAAGGCAGTGCCACCAATCAACTCGACTGGGCTCATGGTCTCTTCATTGATGATGATCAGACGGTTGTCATCGCTGACTACAGGAATCATCGTATCATCCAATGGAAGATGGGTGATACGAATGGACAAGTAATAGCTGGTGGCAATGGTGAAGGAAATCGATTGGATCAATTGAATTGGCCAACAAATGTGTTGATTGACAAAGAGACGGATAGTCTCATTATTTGTGATCAAGAGAATCGACGAGTCGTACGATGGTCACGTCGTAGTGGTACAACTCAAGGAGAAATCCTCATCAACAATATCTATTGTGAGGGATTGGCCATGGATGATCAGAGATATCTCTATATCTCTGACTTCGTCAAACATGAAGTAACACGATATCAAATAGGAGACAAGAATGGAATTATCGTGGCTGGTGGCAATGGCCAAGGTGCTGGTCTTAATCAACTCAATTGTCCGTTCTACATCTTTGTCGATCAACAACAGACTGTCTACGTGTCAGACAACAAAAATCATCGTGTAATGAAATGGAATAAAGGTGCAAAAGAAGGAATTGTCGTCGCTGGAGGTCAAGGGCAAGGGAATACTCTGAAACAATTATCGTATCCTCGAGGACTGTTCGTCGATACATTGGGTACCATCTATGTGGCAG